CAAGTACGTTTTTTATATTTAAAGAGTTTTTATATTTTATATATTTAAAGCAAGTTTTTTGGGCAGTGTAGAGTAGCGCTTGTTGTTTGTAATTTCTCCGATCACAAATACAGACATGGTTTTATGTTACGCTCTGGCCTGACAGGGCATCACAGTATGGTAAGGGGCGTAACATTTCCATCACACGCTTGAGGTATTCGGCCAATCACAACGCACTGGATAGCTGGCCAATCAGAGCACAACTCGCTTTTCAGACCGATGAGCTTTGTAAAAATCGACTCGTTTCAGAAAGGCGGGGCATAGAGGAGAAACAATAATGTACAATATGTGGAAAATAATGTGTTTTTTTAACCTTAAACCGCATAAACACATTTCATTACACCAAATACACAAAATAATGTTCTTTTTAGCAGCATCATATGACCCCTGTAAGGTGGACTAGACAAGAATGTAATACAAATAGTTGAGTTTGCCAGGTGCGTACAACATTTATGACAGCTTTTCATGAAAGTGTTGGTCAGTTTGTCTGCTTGACAATCCCATTTTGCCCTGCAACAATAAAATTGAAGTGAGATAAACTGAGAAATGTTTCTTTTTAGTTAAAATAGATGTTGCCAAAGTTTTCATTTGGGGACATAATTTGAAGTTGGAAAAAGGTAATAAATTGCAATATATCACAGAATATTGCAATATATTTAAAATCGCAATAATATTGTATCGTGACACAAGTATCGTGATAATATCGTACCGTGGGGCCTCTGGTGATTCCCACCGCTATACAGTACAGTGTTTACAGTCTAGATAAGTGTTTAAAGACACTGTTTACAGTTGAAATAGCTGATACTGTATTGAATCAGTTTCTATTTTTGTGACTTGTTGCAGTTTCTTCTTTTTTATTGTGGCATCATAACAAAATAATACAGTTGACATACAGAAACTGTCCCTTTCCCTTCCCAGCTGGCCCACCTTTTTTAAAGGTTTTAAAGCCTACAGTATTACTTACATTCAGAGTTGTCTGGTTCTTTCTGGTAGGAAATTTCAGAGAAAATAAAAGAAGAATCAATTACTATAACAGATTATGTTTTTCAGATATTTGATCTTTACATGGCTAGTCATATCTGCATTTATATGGTTATTTATATGGGGGGAGTCGTGGCCTAGTGGTTAAAGAGTAGTCCAGCGGGGATTGTAGGTGGGGGGAGTGACTAACCAGCGCTCTCTTCCACCCTCAATACCACGACTAAGGTGAGACCCTTGAATAAGGCACCGAACCCACTGCTCCCGGTGTGTGTGTGTTCACTACTGTGTCCACTACTTGGATGGGTTAAATGCAGAGCACAAATTCCGAGTATGGGTCACCATACTTGGCCACACTTTCACTTTATCACAGGAACCATGGATATACATCAAACCATCAAAAATAAATACGTTTTAACTTGCAGTTTTCATTCAGCTGCATATACTTTGATTTCAAGAATTCCTTTGTCAAATACATGCATTTGGGTAATTTTAACTGAGTATTTTATGTCTTGTTCATTTAACCCAACATACTCCTCATCCCAGCTTCCTCCTTCTCCCAGCTGCCATATAAGAAGGTCACTTGGCACTATGCTGACACCTACTGTATATTGTTATAGCAAAGTAGTATAACAGAAAATGTCTGCACTGCCTGAACACATATGGTTTGCATGTTGAAATGATTTGCAAATAACAGTACAATAACAACAAAACAAGCAGTAGTTGTTTGAAAGTGCTCTGGTTTGACTCTCTGCAGGGATAACCTGCACCTGCTGGAGGAGGGTCAGGGTATACTGAGGGAGGAACTGGACGAGCGTATTGCCCGTGAAGAGTTCCGTCGCCCCCGTGAGTCTCTGCTTAACATCTGCACAGAGTTTTACAAGCACTGTGGTCCACGCCTCAAAATCCTGCAGAATGTGGCAGGAGAACCCAGAGTCACTGCTCTAGAGCTGCTGGATATCAAGTCTCATATGAGGTGAAACAAAAGCTACCTAAAGTAGTTTGAACATCCAGTAGCACGATGGAGCAACCAAGTCATAGCATTTTCTAACATGTTTTACAGATTGGCAGAAGTCGCCCACTCCCTTCTCAAATTGGCCCCGTATGACACGCTGACCATGGAAAGCAGAGGACTGCGCCGCTACATCACAGAAATGTTACCCATCACCGATTGGTCGGCAGAGGCCATTCGTCCTGCCCTCATCCTCATTCTGAAGAGGCTGGATCGCATGTTTAACAAGATTCATAAGATGCCCACACTCAGGTGCGTTCACCCTCAGGCTCTGTGCACCAGGTATGTCCTCACGCTGATCTCTAGCCCTCCACCATCTGTGTTTTTGTATGCACTGGTGGAGCTCTGCTGGCCTTATCAGTGGTATCACATCTCTTGAGATGTGATGGCCAGCTGCCGTTTTTGTGCTTTGTTGTTGTGCTTTGTTTTCCATTGTCTCATTATGATTTCAAAATAAAGTTGAATAAATGGTGGACTAAATGTTGTAAAGCAACAAGTATGCCTAAGAATATTATATCTTGCTTTTGTGTGCATACACAATAAGATAAGCTTGCTTATATTTGTGAAGTATTTTCTCCAATACACTTATGCAATATACTTTTAAACTAATTAGACAGCAATATGTCATTTATCAAAAACTTACAACGTAAAGTATTCTTCCTAAAGCACTTATGTAGGCATTATTTTTGTGAGTATCAGTGCAAAGTTTTTTTTTTTTTCCATTGGCAGAAGGGATTCATTACAAAATCCTTAGTGACATTTCCAGAAAAAAATTAAAAATAAATCACTTGAACAAATTTAGCATGATTGCGCATAATAAACCTGCTCAAATGTGGTTTTGTGCACATACTGAAGTTTCTTCTGCGTGTGGAAAACTAATACTAAAACAAATATTTTCTGAAAAACTTATATGTGCACAATGAAACTTTTGTGTGTGCATGGGAAAATGTTTTTGTGTTTTTAGTGTAAAGGTTTTCTCATGCATTCACATTTTTTTTGTGTGTGCAGATTTATATACACAAACCAATAATTGTAATAATGTGTGAGCACAAATATTTTCCAACAAGCAGAAGAAAATGTTTTTGTTTGCGTATACATTTTTCATGTGCATATACACTACTATTCCTTTAAGTTGTAATACTACTTAATAATGTTGTTTTTACTGTATTTTTGATCAAATAAATCCAGCCTTGATGAGCATAAGTGGCTTCTTTCAAAATCATCAGTCTGAATTATTTAAAACTTTTGACCTGTAATGTATTAACTTTCTAATGCACAGATTTTTTTTTTGTTTTCTCTGGAAAATTCCACTTTGTATTCTGAATTCTCTGTAATTCAGTGACTAGTGGCAGAAAACATATTGTATGATACCTTGTTGATGTCCAACTTTTAAAAGTGTGTGAGATGAATATCTCTGTGTGTTGTTTTTCAGGCGGCAGGTGGAATGGGAGGCAGCTAGCAGTCTGATTGAAGGGATTTGTTTGACACTTCATCGGCAGCCAATCATTTCCTTCCTCCCTCACCTGCGATCTCTAATCAACGTTTGTGTCAACCTGGTGAGTCCCAAACAGCTGTTGCCGATGAGATCCTTTGTGTGATGTATATTTGTTTACATAAAGATGTATGTGTTTAGGTGATGGGGGTTGTGGGGCCCTCTAGTGTGGCAGATGGACTTCCCTTGTTGCATCTAAGTCCATACCTGTCTCCTCCTCTTCCCTTCAGTACAGCAGTTGTGCGTTTGGTTGCCATGCAGATCCAGGTATAATCTGTTTCTTTCTATAGATATCTCTATTTCTAATATGCATTTCAGTTCATTGATACAGTATATTTTTGGGCATATGTTTAATGTCTTCCTCCAATTCTAGGCTTTAAAGGATGACTTCCCACTCAGTCATGTGATCTCCCCCTTCACCAATCAGGAGAGACGAGAAGGGATGCTGCTTAACCTCTTGATTCCATTTGTATTGACTGTGGGCTCAGGGAGTAAAGGTCTGCCTTAGAGAACAAACAGAACCTCAAAGTCATAATGCAATTGGATGTAATTTACAATGTTTATTTATGTTTTTCCTTTACAGACAGCCCTCATCTGGAGCAGCCAGAGGTATTTCTACTTTTGCAGACAGTCATTAACATCCTGTTACCTCCACGCATTATCAGCACTTCCCGCAGTAAGAACTTTGTTCTGGACGCATCCCCTGCCCACTGCTCCACCCCAGGGGACACTGGGAAAGACCTGCGTAGAGAGGGACTGGCTGAATCCACCAGCCAAGCAGCTTATCTTGGTACTAGAGCCTTGGAGACGGTTGGATTTTTTTAAAGATGTCTGTACATTTTATAATTTTTTTTCTTTTAATCTGCTCTTTATAGCTCTGAAGGTGGTCTTAGTCTGCTTTGAGCGTCAGTTGGGTAATCAATGGTACAAGCTGAGTCTGCAGGTCAAGGAAATGGCTCTTCGTAAAGTTGGTGGTCTGGCTTTCTGGGATTTTATTGACTTCATAGTGCGCACAAGAATTCCAATCTTCATTCTATTGCGCCCCTTCATACAATGCAAGGTGGGCGGATTTTAAGGATATGTACTAACTTTTTGAACTCTCTATTAGTGGTTGACCGATATGGGTTTTTAATAGCCAATGCCGATATATAGAAGGGTGGTTGAAATAGAGCTGATTTATATGATATCACACATTTACTTTAAGTTAGTAAATAACACATGCACCTCTGCTACACTAAAATGACTACTTATTTTATAATTTAAAGTCACCATGAAATAGAAACTGACAACTGTAAAATTGTCACAATGGAATATTGTAGTGTATATTATTAATTAGCAAACAACAATGATGCAATCAAGTGAGTCTTTTAACCACTATCAGTTCACACCGTTTGTATCCTGTGCACAGATGGACCATCACACAACATTAATCAGTCGTCACAATTCCGAATATTGGCCAATTTATCTGCCTTGGCAATATATCAGTTGCTCATTTGTTTCTATCTATGGTCCTTTTTTCTGCCAGCTCTGTATACTTCTGCAAGATTGATATTCATGAAAAAGTCTTCATGTCTCTACTTTCAGCTGTTGACCCAGCCAGCTGAGTCTCAGGAGGAGATCACGGCTCGTCACCATATTGCAGAGCAACTAGAGCGTCGTTTCATCCCACGGTCCCTCTGCAAGAGCTCTCTGTTTGCTGAGTTCAGCAACGAGCTCAAGATCCTGAAAGAGGCTGTGCATAGTGGCTCTGGTGAGAACTGGCTTAATCTGTATATTACCTACAAAACAAAAGTTAACCTACCTATTGTTGGAAACTCAGACTACGTTTACACGACAACAATGTAGTCAAAAACGGAAAAGTTTTTCCCTTGCTTTTTTAAAAAGTTTCACGTATACACGACAACATTTTCAAAACGATTAGCATTTACACATATACGCGAAAACGCTGTATTACGTATGCCAGGCCAGTAGTTGGTGCTGTCACCTTGTTAGTAAACAGTACCTGTTGCCGTGTGTATATGATGCGTCTCCGCTGTTGGTTGTAATATTGGTGAAGTAAATCCACACTTTGCTGAAGAAGCATTAGCAAATTCTTAAACAGCAACAACAGTACCATGTACTCCGCCATTGTTGTGTATGTTTGTTCGCGCTTGCCTTTAAAATCGACACGTACTGCGCATGTCTACATACCTAACACGTACTACACACGCTCATAACGTCACCGTTTTCAAAGATTCCAGTTTTGGGTGTTTACACGGAAACGACAACGGTGGCATTTTCAAAAACTTGCACTTTGAAACCTGTTTTCAAAAATGACCGTTTTCAGCCCCCGTTGTCTGTTTCCCATTTTTGCCTGAAAATGTCATGTAAACAGCCCCTCGGAAGTGAAGGCCAGGAGACTCTTGGGTGTCATTGTAGTTTATGTACATTTAGGAGGCAGTGCTTAGAAATCGAGACAAAGCACCTGGGTGACGACCTTAAACAAAGCATGCAAATGAAGTATTCAGGTGTAGCAACCTGTCCCATTTCACCAGTCCTAATCCAATCATCATAACTACTCGAAAACTGGGGCAAAGGCACCAAGAGCCATTACAAACAAAAAGTGAGAGTCTCTGAAATCTGGCTCATTTGTTTTACAATAAGAGAAGAGGAACTGGCAGGAACCTCTTGCTACAAACTTTGTTCAACAGAAGCATTCATCTGATGTCATCATCTTTATCATAAATGCTAAATACAATGTATTTCACCTTAGTTTTTCAGGTGATTGTTTGTCGGGACATAGGATCAGTAGATCTAAGACAGATTCTTAAATTTGTAATCCCACACTATCTCTCAGTAAAATTGGTCACACTTTGAACTACGTTCCTGAAGCCCCCCAACAGTGCACAATTTGCAAATCTACTTAATCATACCTTATTCGGGTCATCAACTCATTAGTAGAGATTTCAATACCTGAAATGGGTGTGTCAGACAAAGGAGACATGCAAAATGTGCAGTCTACATGGACGTGATTTTGTGTCAGGTATTCAGGTTTTGTGATTTAACCTGGGGTTACAACTGTACTTTATCAAAGACTATAGAAATACAAAGACGGTTCACTCTTATACTTATGAATGGGAGAAACTGCAATGCGTAATATGGCAGAATAGTCCCGCCTTCTAAATGAAAGAGCCAATCACTGATTGGTCAAGTCGTTGCCTCACTGCATGAGGCTAGAGCAGCCAATGCGCATGCGCAACCATAAGTGTGTTATAGCTGCGTATGCGCATTAGCTGGTCTAGCCTGAAAAATAAGTCTGTTTTAATACTATTTGACCATGAGAACCAACATTAATGGGGCAGTTAATTTCAGATTTTGTTGCTGATTTGAAATGTGTAATTTAATTGTGTGTTCAGTGAGCAGTTTTTGAGATTTCAGGATTCCCCCATTTATTTAAATAGCTCCTGGGAGGTGTTCGAAATATGGCCACCGAGTGAACAGACTTTCCTTGATAGGGACTTTGACTTTATTTCTCCCCGTTTTTCAGCATACCAAGGAAAGACGTCCATCAGTACTGTTGGCACGTCCACCTCTGCATACAGGTTGAGTCTGGCCACCATGTCCCGCTCCAACACCGGTACAGGAACTGTCTGGGAGCAGGAGAGCCAACCTTCACGCCAGCCCTCACAGGACACACTCAGTCGTACCGATGAGGAGGAGGAGGAAAGTGTGTGATTCATCCTCTTTGGTTCCTCTCAAAACATTAATTTACTCACCCTTGTGTCATTCCAAATGACATAACTTTCTTTATAAACCTGTTCATTTAAAAGATCTGACTTAAAAGAACAGTCTGTTCATGAATATATATGTGACATACTGTATATGAATGCATGAATGGACATACATAAAATTTTGTAGCAGATCTAGACAGGTGGAGCTGGGGGAGGTGGAGGGTTTCAGAGCAACTGAGTATGCTGCAGGACCAGCTTACAGCGAATACTAAACCAGACTGTTTAAATGTTGAGCAAGCAATCTTATTGGCTGCAGAATCAGCTTGTGTCATATAGTAAATTATATTATTGCTAAGAGTGCATGTAAAGGACCTACTGTATCAGCCTGCGTTATCTAGAGCAGTGTTTCCCAACCGGGGTGCCATCTGTCGAGAGCAGGGGTGCCGTGTAAAAAAAATCATTTGTTAATGTTTAAATTGCTAAAATATTCAAAAAAGCATCTATTATATAATATCCATTTCTGATGTCGCCAATAATTAGAGATGCACCGAAATTTCGGCTGCCGAAAATTAATTCACCGCTCAGGTTTCACTTTCACGTGGTGTGACGCTCTGCATATTATCCTGCTCTATGCGTGTGCGCTCTGCTCAGCCGCTCCACTCGTATACCGTTCATGCGAATCGGAACAGCAAAGTCCACTCAAAAATTGAGCCGACAGGTAACATCGATGTAGTACAGTATTGTTTCTGTCTGCAATAGCCCTACTGTGTTGTAACAAGGTGTGGTATATGGGCAACTCTGGTAATTCTGCCCTCTCATTCATTGATCTGCTAACCGCTATGTTATGCTCACGTGTTCTGATAATAATAGCTTTCTAGGACTAAACATTATTTGGATAATTGGTAAAAAAAAAAAGTTAAATATCTTAACCCTACTGTTAGACCTACCTGAAAAACTAAAAATAAATTTATTTAATTCGAAGGCCTGTCATTATTTTTTATTTGTGCTATCATTATTAATTACTTTATTTGTTCTTATTTTATTACTGACTGCTTACTTGTCATTTTTTATTCAATTCAAAGTTTGAAATCAATCTATCTCGTGCTACTGCACCAAAATTACCCCACTGTACAATAAAAATTTGTGAGATAGCTAGTTATAATGGTAATTAAATAATGTTTACATATGTATAAAAGCCTACATTAAAATATGTCATATAAATTGGTATCTTCATTAGAAATTAGTCTATTGATTGCCACCATTGATGGACACATTTTTTTAATAATATAAAAAATATCTGTATGACATTATATTCTGCAGTTATTCCCTGTTGTACCGAATATTTATACTTTTCAAATTATCATATCGAAGTTAGAAATTCAAATACTGTGACAAAATTAGTTTTGTAGGGTGCCACAAGTTTGTTAAAATTTCCAAAGGGTGCCGTGACAAAAAAATGGTTGGGAAACACTGATCTAGAGTTTCATGACTGAAATATTTTTTTATTATTTTTTTAACAATGATTTCAAGCAGCATGATAAGTTTAAAATAAAATTTATGGGTTTTATTGCTGAGGAATTTTATAGATGCATCTGCTGATGTTATTGTTGAATGATCCATATTACTGCTTACTCTGTCGCTTTCAGATGACTCCGTCAGCATCCCCAGCGTGGTAAGTGAGCACGAAGCTTTCCTCCCCAGGCTCATTTCCCAGCGGCGTTTCTCCAGTCACGCCACAGGGTCGGCTGCCACTCAGCCTGAACCAGGCATGAGCACCATGCTGCCCAGTCACAGGTAAACAGACACCCCTCTTCACAACTAAAGCTCATTCAGACCAAAAACTGTATATAACAACCTTATTTATCCAATCTTACCATATCTTTCCCTTTAAGAGAGGGCTGATCTACAGCTGGGGGGGTTGCATGTCTCTCTTATTATTCCCCTAATCTTGTTCCCTGCCCAACTCTACAGTGAACCCAATGTGCTAGATGAATCCCAGGGGCTTCTGGAGGAGGGTAACCTGTCTAGGTACAGTGTCACGGCCCTGTGTGTACAGTGTCTCACCGTCTGTGTGCCAGGGCTGGGCCTGCCTTCCCTGTTCATCGCATCCAACTTAATTCCTCACTAGGATCTCTCTCTTTCTCTTCTCATCCACTCCAAGTCACTATTTCTTTCGGTCTTTTTTTTTTCTCCTGGCTAGGGACAATGATGCCCGTCTACGTTTTATCACTTTGTGGTACTCATGTCATCTCCAGTGAGCCTCATGGTGTCATGGTGTCCACTCATGTTTCAGGCTTTTTGCTGCTCAAATTGGAGTTCCTCTCTGGGGGGCCAATCTGTGGGGCTGGGAAGTATGGTCTAGCAGGTGTAAAGTAGACAATTAGACATGAAGAAATGTATTTTTTCTGATCTGACAGCAGATGAATCTGACAAATTCTTGTACAAAAGTGGCTTAGTTTATATCGGATGTTCACATCCTTTTGCTCACACTGCTATACCAGCTTCTCTATTCCCCTTAGTTTTTTGTGGATGACATTGCAGGTTCTGTCCTGCGATTCATGCTTTCTTGATTCGTCCCTGTCCCTGTGTTTGATTGGTAGAGGGCTATGGACTAATGGGGATTTGTGGATGGGACACATTTCCTTTTAACTCTCCAATTAATCAGGAGGATTTAACAGGGATTGTGTTCAGCTCTTCGGGCAGTTCGAGCTCATCAGCTCTGTTTGTGTGTCTGTCCTTTGGTTTTATTCTGCAGGGTTGCCAGCGTGCAGAGTGAACCAGGACAGCAGACTCTGCTAATCCAGCCACCTCTCGGTCGTAAGAGAGGACTTAGGCAGGTGAGCGCTCAGAACACAGGCTTATTTTTTGCATTCGGTGTATTATGTCAAGGCATAAAATTGAGGCACTGTGTTTTGTAGCTACGGCGACCTCTGCTGTCTATACAGAGGGTGCAGGACGAGTCTCGTGGACGTCAGGGAGCCAGACTCTCAACAACCCGCAGGAGCATTCAGCCTAAGAGTAAACCACTCGACAGGGGTGTGTGTCATTTGTGTAATTACATTTAAAAAGAAAATTAATATGAGTGGGGACTATGTGTATAAGTATATGTTTATAGCATGGATAATATAATATCTGTGTGTATCATTATCGGTAAGTTATTGTACACAACATAAAAACCCTTCATTGCAGTCTTAAAAGCATTTCTATGAATTCCTTTTTGTTTATAGACAAACCTTTTAGTTTTGCTTTGTGAATGTCAGCAGATTTAATGCCTAGTGTAATAAATAATAAATATATTAATATAATATACACAAATAAATTACATTATTATGAATAATAATACAAAATAAAAATATTTATGATTGCAAAACCATTGTTATATTACAAATCTGAGATGTTAATAATTATACAGCAGACTGCATATATACAAATTATATATCAGTATCCACTCTAAATGCATAATTGGTCAAATAAAATTTGACTTTTTAACTTAATTATTATATTATTTTATGCTATTTTGGTGGGCATAATATATACAAAGACGTACCTAAAATACACAATGTATAATTTTTAATACATTTTCAACTTGGCTTTTCTACAAGCAATCTATGAAA